ATAACCGCGCAATATTAAAGCGACCTACAAAATCTTAATTTCAAAACTCATTTATTAAGAGGATATATATTCTAGTGTAAATCTTTGGAAAAATCGATTTTTTCACAATATTCTGACGAATCTATATTCCAAATTACGTCTTCAAAACCTCATTTGTGAATTCTTAAAATTAAGAAAGTTACAGCAGATTGATCATTCATAATACGATCAATATTGCAATCAGCAAAACTTTCTCAAAAGTATGATTTTCAAAACGGTGAGAACCGATAATATCTCAAAATCTAGTTAATCAATTACCTTCCAAATTTAGGCTCATATTCAGTATTCTTATGCCTACAGCCTGTATCAGAACCTATCCACAATTTTGATATTTTGATATTTTTTAAGCTCCGACTATTGAAAAATCAATAGGAAAGATCGATGATCAAATCTCGATATGTTGCCATTTTTTGTAATCATTGACTTTTTCTTTTGTTCCAGTGTCTGCTATAGCCAAACTCATGCTAATTACATAAAGTACTTGGTGTTACTTAATTGTGCAAAGTATATAAAACTTATTTAATAGAAAATATATGTACTCGCATAAGAATCTGCAGTCTATATGTGACGAATCTAATGAATATAAGCTCGAGGACCGTGAGATACTTATATTTCAACTACGTACTGTATACTCTGCACGAAAAAATTGATAAATTCCAGGATCTTAGGGTTTCCATCATGCATGAGAATCGATCCCTGACTTTTCAAAAATATGATTTCGAATGCCAAAAATCTTATTATTAAAAAATTTGTGACGGTCGCGAGGGGGAGTGCTGGACTCAGCCGGGGGTCCACGCTTCTTCGTGGAGTCCCAAATAAGCAAGACTCGTTCGGTGTGACAATATTACTTTATTTTCGGCTCTTGACGATATACAATTGTTACGATTAGTCTATGATACGTAGTATTATACTTAGTTATATTATATTAGTTATGACATGTAGAGTCTGCGCAAGCTTGCATAACTTAGTTCCCATATTTTTACATCTTAACGACTACCTTAAATCTAATAACAGAGTTACTGAAAAACTTACAGTCTAACCTATAAACTAAACATGCACTTAACCTAATTAAAGTCTAAATGTCCATGGAGACGTCCATGGAGACGTCTTCGGGGGCGTCTTCGGGGGCGTCTTCGGGAGCGTCTTCGGGAGCGTCTTCGGGAGCGTCTTTGGGAGCGTCTTCGGGAGCGTTTTCGGAGGCGTCTTCGGGGGCATTTTTGGAGGCGTCTTCGGGGGCGTTTTTGGAGGCGTCTTCGGAGGCGTCTTTCAAGGTCATTGGTCTCCGAAAGCAATTTTTGTTTCCTTTGCGAACTGAGCAGACGTATATGTAACCTCCGTCTTCGTCGTCCTGGGGATGGGCGCGTTTCCTTCGCCGCACTAAATGGACGGAGGCGAATTGGACTGGTTCGGAATCCGGTGACTGCCGAGATGGTCCTGGGGCGATCTCGTTGAGCTCGATCGTTTTTCGTCTCTTGAGTGACAGTTGTTTTTCCTCTTTCTTTAAGTCACGTTTCTTAGAAGCCTTAGGAATGTTTTCCTTATCCTCTTTTTTCCATGGCTCGAACATCCATACGTGCGGGTTGAGGTGGCGTGGAACTCCCAGCGAGCGGAGGGCGTCCATCCCCAACAGTATCTCGTGGCAGAGTGTGGGGTGAATGAGGCAGGACAAAGTAATTGCCCGTTCGTATTTTTTCAAAGTGACCTGAATTTCCAGATGAGTACTACCAGATTGAGTAGGAAACTTTGTGGTGTCAACGTTGGAGTCCGCGGATAGACACTGGGCTCCATGACTACTGCACCACGCGGCCACGTCTGGGCGGAGGTAGGACCGGCTAGATCCACTGTCCACTAAGGCAGTACACTTGCGATTATAAAGAAATATTTCTAAAAATGTTCTCTTATCAGACTTATTTAAGTCGGTGGAGACATTAGGTTGTGGCTCCGTGGTGGACGATCTTTGCCTCTTCCGCGAAGGGGCTTCGTTGACTCCTGGTTCCGTAATGGACGACGTTGCTGCTTGTAACCGCTTGGAGTTGCGATGAGATTCTCGTTGCCTGTATCTCTTTTTGCCACATCGATGGCAGTTTCTGTCACGGTGTTGTTCTTTGTTTATCGATTTTCTGGTTTGAATGATCAGAGCGCTGAATTTCTTGTCCAAGTGGTTGATGTAATCCACGTCGTTCATCTCGTCGATGGTCCGTTCTGACATCGTGATTATCTGGATGTGCTCGGTAAGTGTCGTTGAAGTTCTTCGACGGTTTCGGGCGAATTGGAATGCAACCCTCAGGCACGGTATCGTTCGTCACACTAACTGCTAAGGGCTGGTTTGCCGGCAATTTATACCCGAGCCGTAAATTTTTAGCAGCGCGATGTGACCACCTAGCGGTAACATTGGGAAGCTCCGCAGGACCGTCAGGTAAATATTAAATTACCTGAAAATCAGGTATAAATATTACCTGAAAGTGTTTTCTTGGAATTTTAAACTGCTTTCTATTTTATATAATTATTATATCGTTGCATTATTCTATTTTTTCTTATCGTCAGTCATATAAATTGAGATATCAAATTCTCATTCATCTTGCAAGTTTATTCATTTTTATATTTATTGTGTCACTCCTGGAAACGTATTTTTTTATAATTTTTATAAACAACTAATTGTTTGTAAAAATTCAACTTTTCTAATGCTTTCCATTTGTTAACATTAAAAAACATTTATTGAAAAACGAACTGGCGAGAAGTTATTATTGGATGCCAAATTAGGCTTATTCAACAATCGAATCGTGTTAGTAAAAGTAATAAATACATGGGGTTTTCGTCGGCGAGATTTATGGCACGGACGCGACGAAGATTAATTTGAGTGTCAGAATTTTCTATTACATTTGACGATCATTTGACGTCCAAGTTTAATTTCCATCTTCCTCAATAACCTGCCATATAAATTCGGTACTTCCGAAGAATCATCCCGAGCATTGTCAAAGGCCGCAATAACTTCATTACTGTGCAATTAACCAGCGCAGTGACAAGGGGCTATTTTTGAGATTAGGGTAATTTTCACATTTCATGACCATTCGATGTCGAACCGTTCGTTTCGCGCCCTTTCCAATAGCCGCGCGGTATCATAAACTGAGCGCGTCATAAACCGAAGGGTCGTTCCAAACCGTACCTGCAAAAAGAATCTTAATGCTAAGTACCGCTAAGTACGGTTAATTTAGAAGAAGTTCGCAACGTTGACGAGGTTTTCGGAAATTACACGTCCAGGTAGTGGACGCACCTCTTCCACCCCTGCGAAAACATAAACTAGGGTCGTTATACGGACTCCCGATAAAAGACGAAACAAACAAACAAAAGTACATTTTGAATCTCTTCGCGTTCACATTTTTCCTCCAACACAGTCGATTGTTATATAATAACAATATCATAATACCATAATACCCGCAACCAATACCATAATATCATAATACCCGCAACCACCGCTCCACCGACCGGATCCCGTTGCCTAATATTAATTTGCCGGGCAACATAATCAGCGATCTAAAAATCAGCGCGTCCGCGATACATTCAATCCGGGCCTTACAACCCCGGATCGGTGCATACACCCGCGCGCTAATTTCGGTGCATCGCAACGTCAAAACAAATCGCATGGGTTTTTATATTATTTATACGATTTATGGAAGGAAGAACGAGTGAAGATTGCCACGTTACCCATATCTGGGTGACGGCTATGTTTCGGCAGTCTTCGTCCAATTAAAGCAGAATTTTGAAGGTAATTTATAGTAATTTTATTTGTAACACAACTATGACGAGTATAGACAATACAGGGTAACAATAAAGTATGAAGTAAACAAAAAAACAAACATTAAAAATATATACTTATACTAATACTAAAATAAGATAATAAAATATTAAATATACTTATATCTAAATTTGTCTTTAAAATATTGTAACATTTTATTAGTTACGATGGAATTCGTTAAAATATTGTAAACATAATTGGGGTGATTCTGGACAATACGTTATGGTCTTTTGTACATTTTCTTTTGCGCCGGGAGAAATTTTGCTCTATCGATTCACGCTGAGCGTTCAACGTCTTAATAAGTATTATATTTTAGAAAATGAATGCAAAAAGTGTCATGATATTTGGTCTCAAAGTAAAACACTGAAACAATCTTTATGAAAAGTCTTTCAGTTTGAACTAACAAACACTCTGTGTAGCCGGAACTAAAACAAAATTAATAAGTGCTCTGTGTGCGGGAATTGTTTCACATCCAATAGTTGCGCAAGTCTTAACCAAGTGTAGAGACCATCTGTATATAAATATTAGGATACTGACTAAAATTATTTTTACTGCTTTTTGATGAGTACAGAAAAAATTTTCAAATTTTAAGAATGGAAGGACAGCTAAATAATTCTCAGATAAATGTTTTGTCTTTTTCTTTAAATAATTTTCAGTAAGCATTAGAAACTAATAATGAGCAATATCGAACAAATGTATATGTAACAATCCTGTATTTGCTAAATAATAAGCATTAATAAGCATTAATAAATAAATAAATACATAAATAAATAAGTAAATAAATAAATAAATAAATAAATAAATAAATGTTTGTCTTCATGCATACAGTTATTAAAAAAAGTATAGTTTTGGTAAAATAAGACGAAATAGTTCCACTTTATACACTGTGTTTTGTTTACTGAAAGAAGTCAATGTCTTGTCGACTAATTTATTTATTCACTTAGACTCAGGAATTGTATTTGGTTTACATTAATTATCAACCCTGTACATTCATGTGTTTCCATTCATTTCCTTTCTTTTCTATAACTACAACACTCTATTCGCCTTATCTATCCTTTTTTCTATTTTTTCACGTGTCTTTTTTATTTATGCTATCTTCCCTTTTGTAACCTTTCTCCAATCATTCTATGGTTCTTATGCACGGTTTTGAATTTGATCATTCTTCCAGGCATACGTTCCTATTCTATCTAATCCAAAAAATCACATTGGCTGGCCGGAGGTTGCTCGAACAGACGTAAAAAAACAAATTTATAATCTACGAACTCTAATCTGGCAGGTAAATAAATTTGAATTGATAGACATTCTTGTGATTTCGTAAAATAATTTCAAATTATATTGTTTATTTGTCCACTTTCGTAAGAATAAATACAGTTTCGTAGAAAGTCTTAGGATCATTACGTTAAAATAAATACATCTTGCTAACATTATTGCATGATCTGGAATTATATGTATAAAGATATAAATGCAACAAATGTTGCAAATACCACATGTATAAATGCAACAAATACTACTGTGATCAAAAAGTAAGGTGAATTTGTTTATAAAATGTAAATTCTTTATTTATTCTTCCAAATTAATTTCGTCCCCTTAAAAGTAATCCCCGTCCGATAAAACGCACTGTTTCCGACGCTCTTTCCAGTCCTCGAAACAGTCGGAATAGTCTTTTTCCGGTATAGCCTTCAAGACCTTCTTCGATTCGGTTTTTATCTCCTCAATCGTGTCAAAACGGCGTCCCCGCATTGGCTTTTTGAGTTTGCTGAACAACCAGAAGTCGCACGGAGCCAAATCAGGCGAATACGGTGGTTGCGGAACGATATGAGTCGAGTTTTTGGCAAAAAAGTCGCGAAGAACCAATGCAGTATGACATGGCACCAATCGAGACTTGACGCGTTTGAGACACAAAACATCCTTCAAAATGGTTTGGACTGAGCCAAATGATATTCCAACACTATCAGCGAGGTCTCTTATTGTCAATCGACGATTTTCAAGCACCAAATC